ATGATTTGCAAATATTTTCTCTTATTCTGTAGGCTGCCTTTTGACTCTCTTGTGTCCTTTGAACACAGAAGTTTTTAATTTTGATATCGCCCAACTAATCTATTTTTTTTTTTACTTCTGTTTGTTTTTTTGTGTCTTTGGCAAGAAATTGCCAAATCCAATTTCATGAAGCTTTTCTCCTTGTTTTCTTCTTCTTCTTTTTTTTTTTAAGATTTTATTTCTTTATTTGAGAGAGAGAGAGAGAGCATGAGCAGGCAGAGGGACAGAGGGAGAAGCAGAATCCCCACTGAGCAGGGAGCCCGACCGGGGTCTGGATCCCAGGACCCTGAGATCATGACCTGAGCCGAAGGCGGCAGATGCTTAACCAGCTGAGCCATCCAGATGCCCCTCCTATGTTTTCTTCTAAGAGTTTTAGAATTTTAACTCTTATGTTTAGGTGTTTGATCTATTTTGAGTTAACTTTATATATAGTATTAAGTAATGGTCCACCTTCATTCTTTTGCAGGTGGGTATTCAATTTTCTCAGTGTCATTTATTGAAAAGACTGTCCATTCCTCATTGAATGGTCTTGGCACCCTTGTTGAAATCATTTGACCATATATTCAAGGGCTTCCTTCCTCCCTCCCTCCCTCCCTCCCTCCCTCCCTCCCTTCCTTCCTTCCTTCCTTCCTTCCTTCCTACCTTCCTACCTTCCTTCCTACTTTCCTTTCGCTTTTATTTATTTGTCAGAGAGAGAGAGAACTCACAAGCGGGGGAGTTGCAGAGGGAGAAGCAGGCTCGCTGCTGAGCAAGGAACCTGATGTGGGACTTGATCCCAGGACCCCGGGATCATGACTTGAGCCAAAGGCAGACGCTTAACTGACCGAGCCGCCCAGGCGTCCCTTAGTTTTTCAGTTTTAGATGTATATTGCCTTTCTGCTGTAGAAGATAAGGATTTGCTTTTTTATTTTTATTTTTTTTGTTAGAAACCTGCCTTTTCCTCTCCCTTGCAAGGGTTTTAGGATCTTTATCCCAGTGTTAAAAAATTTCACAATGATGAACCTTGTGTGGGTCTTATTTATTTAGAGTTGTATACTAATTTCAACCTGAAAATGCATATCCTTTGGTTGTAGGGTTTTTGTTGTACTTTATTCCCTTCATTTTTCTCTGTGTGTTCTTTTTGAAGTCCTGTTTTTGTTTTTTGTTTTTATAAGGAATGACATTAAAAAAAATTTTTTTTTAAGTAATTTCAACATATAACATGGGGCTTGCACTCACGACCCCAAGATCAAGAGTCCCATGCTCCACCAACTGAGCCAGCCAGGTGCCCCTGAAGTCCTGTTTTTGTATAGGACTTCCCACCTCAGTATTTTTCTTTAATATTTTCCTTTTTTTTTTTTAGTTTTATTTTTTGGGATATTTCCTCTATCTTCTGTTTATCTTCTAGCCCTTCTATGGATTTTTTTGATATCTGCTATCATATTATTAATTTCTAAGAACTTTTTTTGTCTCTGTATGTTCCCTTTTTTGTTGAATTTTGTTTTTGGTTCATAGATAAAATATTTTTGTTTAAATCTCTTGAGACTGTTCATTAAGTTTTCTTCTTTTGTCTCTTTTTCTTTTGAGTTTCTTTTTTGTTTTAGTCTTTGACTTCAGAGGCTTTCTTTAACCAATTGAGCCACCCAGGCGCCCCAGAGGCTTTCTTTAAATGTCTTAGGATTTTGGGCTGTTTAAGTGAAAGGCATTAAAAGACCAGATGTAAATGCTGTTGGCATGGGAAAACCTTACCAAATTGTGGACTTCACTATAGGTGATAAAAGCTGTTGCATAGGGAGGGGCCTGATATCAGCATTTATAGAGCTTTTATGTTGTGGTGGTCAGTTTCCCCAGAGAGAAATACTCCAATCTCCTAAGAGGGGTGGGGTTGGAGAAATAGCTGAGAATATTGCTTAATCCTCATGTTTTCACTTTAGTATTTATTCACTCAACTCTGCTTGGTGGCTATGAAACCAGAGTCCCAACCTCCCCAGAGAATAAACTGGCTTTCTTCCGGAGGGGAGGTAGAAGCGGGGTAGTGGTAGCCTGATGTGTGGCTAATGCCTCTGTCTTTTTAGGTACTTGGTGCCTCTGATTTTTGAGTGTTTCTGGAATTTTACGGATTTACCTTTCTCTTAGTTTGCTTCCTATTAGGTTTTAGCTTTCTTTGCTCCTCTAAGTTATATATCATCTATCTGGTGTCCAGGTTGTAAAATTTGGGATCTATTATCTGTTTTCTATGTCCTCTGAAATTTATGTCTTTTAAAATTTATTTATTTATTTATTTAAATTAAAGTTTTTATTTTTTTTAGTAATCTCTACACCTAATGTGGGCCTTGAACTTAGGACTCTGAGGTTGAGTCACATGCTCTTCTGACAGCCAGGCACCCCTGTGTCTTTTTTAAATCTTTATTTATTTAAAGATTTTATTTATTTATTTGACAGAGAGAGACATAGTGAGAGAGGGAACACAAGCAGGGGGAGTGGGAAAGGGAGAAGCAGGCTTCCCATGGAGCAGGGAGCCCGTTGTGGGGCTCGATCCCAGGATGCTGGGATCATGACCTGAGCCAAAGGCAGATGCCTAATGACTGAGCCACCCAGGCGCCCCCTTTTTTTAAATCTTTATAATAATTTAGTGGGATTTGGGAGCCTATGGAGATAATTACATGTATTCAATTCAGAATCTCCTATTCATGTTTCATCCCCTCCAGTCTAGCTTTTGCCCCTATTGTCCTACTAAAATAGGTCATCATAGTCATCAGGTACTATCCCCCCCACACACAGTTTTATTGAGATATAATTGACATATAACATTCTGTAAGTTTAATATATAAAATGTGATGATTTGATACACATCTATATTGCAAAAGGTTTGCCACACTAAGGTTAGTTAATATATCCTTCACCTCACATAATTACCTTTTTGTTATTATTACTGTGAGCTCATGAAAGCACTGCTGTCCTAGCAGCTTTGAAGTATACAATACAGTAGTGTTAAACTATAATCACCATGCTGTACATTAGATCCCTGGAACTTACTCATCTCATAACTGGAAGTTTGTACCCTTTGACCAGTATCTCCCTATTTGCCCCACCTCTCAACCCTTGGCAACCACCATTCTCCTCTCTACTCCTATGAGTTTGATGTTTTTTAGATTCCACATATAACGAGATTATACAGTATTTGTCTTTCTCTGCCTGACTTATTTCACTTAGCATAATGCCGTACAAGTCCGTCCGTGTTGTCACAAATAGCAGAATTACCTTTTTATGGCTGAATAATATTCCTTTGTGTATATATACATATTCTTTCTTTATCCTTCAGTGGATCCTTAGATTGGTTCCATGTGTTGGATATTGTGAATACTGTTTCAGTGAACATGGGACTCCAGATATCTCTTTGAGAAAGTGATTTTATCTCCTTTGGATATATGCCCAGAAGTGGGATTGCTGGATCTAATGGATTTCTTTTTCTTTCTTTCTTTCTTTTTTTAGGATTTTATTAATTTTTTGAGAGAGAGGGAGCATGCTCGCATGTGAGTGGGGGAGGGGCAGAGGGAGAAGGAGAGGGAAAGAATCTCAAGCGGACTCTGCACTGAGCGTGGAGCCTGATGGGGGCCTTGATCTCACAACCCTGAGTTCATGAACTGAACTGAAACCAGGAGTCAGATGCTCAATGGACTGAGCCATCCGGGTACCCCATGCCCCATGGATTTCTATTTTTAATTTTCTTCCTTTTTTAAATTTTTATTTTTTAAAAGATTTTATTTATTTGTCAGAGAGAGAGAGAGCACAAGCAGGGGGAGCAACAGGCAGAGGGAGAAGCAGGGAGCCTGATGCAGGACTCAGTCCCAGGACTCTGGGATCATGACTTGAGCCGAAGGCAGACGCTTAACCAACTGAGCCACCCAGGTATCCCTTGAATTTATTTTTGTGTATGGGTCTAAGAAAGTGGTCCAGTTTCATTTTTTTGCATGTAGCTGTTCAGTTTTCCCAGCACCAGTTATTGAAGAGACTGTCTTTCCCCTGTTCTATATTCTTGCCTTTTTTGTCATAGATTAATTGACCATATAAGCATGGGTTTATTTCTGGGCTCTTTTTTCTTTTCCATTGATCTGTGTGTCTATTTTGTATTGGTACCAAACTGTTTTGATTACTATAAGTATGTATGTATGTATGTGTGTATGTATTTATGATGACTACAGCTTTTTAAATAGTTTGAAATCAGGAGGTGCGATGGGGCCTTTAGCTTTGTTCTTTCTCAAGATTGTTGTGGCTCTTTGGGATCTTTTGTGGTTCCATATGAATTTTAGAATTGTTTTTTCTGTTTCTATGAAAAGTGCCATTGGAATTTTCATAAGGATTGCATTGCATCTATAGATGGCTTTCGAGATAGATCTCAACAATCTTAATTCTTCTGATTCATAAACAGGGATATCTTTCCATTTGTGTCTCCTTCAATTTCTTTCAACAATGTAGTTTTCAATGTACAGATCTTTCACCTTCTTTAGCTGACTTTTACGTATTTTATTGTTTCTGATGTTTTAACAAAAACATGGAATTGTTTTCTTTCTTTTTTTAGATAGTATATAGAAATGCAACTGATTTATTAATGTTGGTTTTGTATCCTGAAACTACTCAATTCACTTATTAGGTCTCACTTTCTTGGTGGAGATTTATGATTTTTATATGCAAGATATATCATCAGCGAACAGTTATATGCCCTCTTTTCTGATTTGGATGCCTGTATTTCCTTTTTTTGGTGGGGGGATTGCTGTTTGTTTATGACAAATATTCCACATTCATGATCCTCTCCAGTCAGAAGTTCTTTTCTTTTTTAAGTTTTATTTATGTACGTAATCTCTACATCCCACATGAGGCTGAAACTCAAGACCCTGAGATCAAGAGTCATGTGCTCCTCTGACTGAGCCAGCCAGGTGCCCCAGTCAGAAGTTCTTTGAAACCATGCTCTTGGCCTTGGCCAGTCAGAGGATGAAGTCATCTGACTCACCCATCCTGCGAATGACCCCACAGATAGTGTAGGTTTTAAACTGGCCGTTGAACCCCCCTATCACCTTGTCAGCCTTGGTCCTGTTCTTCTGGATGGACGCGTGGTCTTTGGCACTGATGATGTGGTTGTTGGAGGAGTACTTTTGCAGCATGAACAGGTCCGTGAATTTGCTGGCATCGTTCTACATGTCAAGGGCACGCTTGCTGCCACCCTGGATACGTTTCCTTTTCTAGCCTACTTGCCATGGCTAGGACTTCTAATACTATGTTGAATAGAAGTGGTCAGAATGGGCACCCTTGTCTTGTTCCTGATTTTTGAGGAAAAGCTTTCAGCCTTTCACTGTTGAGTATATTAGCTGTGGACTTTTCACAGATGGCCTTTATTATGTTGAGTTATGTTCCTTCTATATCCAATTTATTGAGCATATTTATCATGAAAGGATGTTGAATCTTGTCAGTTGCTTTTTCTGTATCGAGATGATCATATGATTTTTGTCTTTCATTCTATTAATGTGGTATATCACATTTATTGATTTCTGTATGTTGAAACGTCCTTGCATCCCAAGAGTATATCTGACTTGATCATGGGATATGGTCTTTTTTTTTTTTATTTTTTTAAATTTTTTAACATTTTTTTTATTCTTATGTTAATCTCCATACATTACATCATTAGTTTTAGATGAAGTGTTCCATGATTCATTGTTTGTGCATAGCACCCAGTGCTCCATGCAGAGTGTGCCCTCCTCAATACCCACCACCAGGCTAACCCATCCTCCCACCCCCCTTCCCTCTAGAACCCTGTTTGTTTTTCAGAGTCCATCGTCTCTCATGGTTCGTAGGGATATGGTCTTTTTAATGTGCTGTTGAATTTATTTTGCTAGTATTTTGTTGAGAATTTTTGTGTCTTTATTCATCAGAGATTTTGGTCTGTTGTTTTCTTATAGTGTCCTCATCCAGCTTTGATATCAGTATAATGCTGGCCTTACAAAATGAGTTTAGGAATGTTGCCTCCTCTTCAATTTTTGGAAGAGTTGAGAAGAACTGGTGTTAATTCTTCTTTAAATGTTTAGTAGAATTCTCCCATGAAGCTGTGGTCCTGGGCTTTTCTTTGTTGGGAGGTGTTTGATTACTAATTTAATCTCCTCAGTTGTTACTGGTCTGTTCAGATCTCTGTGTATTTTGTTTGTCTGTTTTGATGATTAAGACTTGGTAGGTTATATGTTCCTAGGAATTTATCTATTCTAGGTTATCGAATTTGGTGGTATATAATTGTTCATGGCAATCTCTTATGATCCTTTGTATTTCTGTGGTATCAGTTGTAATGTGTCTTATGTATAATTTTGAGTTCTCTTTTTCTTGGTAAGTCTAGCTAACGTGTTGTCAATTTTGTTTATCTTTTCAAAAAACCAGGGCGTAGTTTCATTGAGCTTTTCTATTGTTTATTCTCTATTTTATTTATTTCTGTTCTGATCTTTGTTCTCTCATTTTTTCTGTTAACTTTGGGCTTAACATATTCTTTCTCGGGGCACCTGGGTGGCTCAGTCGTTAAGCGTCTGCCTTTGGCTCAGGTCATGATCCCAGGGTCCTGGGATCGAGCCCCGCATCGGACTCCCTGCTCAGCGGGAGGCCTGCTTCTTCCTCTCCCACTCCCCCTGCTTGTGTTCCTGCTCTTGCTGTCTCTCTCTGTCAAATAAATAAATAAAATCTTAAAAAAAAAAAAAATATTCTTTCTCTAACTCCTTGAGGTTTTTCAAGATTTTTTTTCTTAATGTAGGCATTTATTGCTATAAACTTCCCTCTTTGCATTATTTTTGCTGCATATCATGAATTTTGGTATGTTGCATTACCATTTTTGTTTAGACTTTACAAATTTCATCTTTGACTCATTAGGTTGTTCAGGAGTATATTGTTTAATTTCCACATATTTGTTAATTTTCTAATTTTCTTCCTGTTACTGATTTCTAGTTTCATACCATTTTGGCCAGAAAAGATACTTGGTATATGATTTCAGTATTTTTGAATTCGTCAAGACTTGTTTTGTGATTTAATACATGCCCAATGCTAGAGAATGTTCCATGTGTACTTGAAAAGAGTGTGTGTTCTACTCTTGAATGGAATGTCCTATATGTGTCTGTTAGGGCCATTTGGTCTAAAGTATAGTTTGAGTCCTGCATTTTTTTTTTTTTTTAAGATTTTATTTATTTGACAGAGAGAGACACAGTGAGAGAGGGAACACAAGCAGGAGGAGTGGGAGAGGGAGAAGCAGGCTTCCTGTGGAGCAGGGAGCCCGATGTGGGGCTTGAATCCCAGTACCCTGGGATCATGACCTGAGCCGAAGGCAGACGCTTAACGACTGAGCCGCCTAAGGCACCCGAGTCCTGCATTTCTGTATTGATTTTCTGCTGGGTGATATTCATTGTTGAAAGTGGGGTATTGAAATCCCCTATTATTATTGTACTGTTGTCTATTTTTTCCTTTGATCTGTTAGTATTTGCTTAATGTACTTAGGTGCTTTGATGTTGGGTACATATATATTTACAATTTTTATATCCTCTGGATGAATTGACTGCCTTATCATTATATAATGATCTTTGTCTCTTGTTATAGTTTTTTACTTAAAGTCTATCTTTTCTGATGTAAGTGTAGTTATCTTGCTCTCTTTTGGTTTCCATTTGCATGGAATATCTTTTTCCAACCCTTGACTTTCTTCTTATGAGTCTTTTGTAGGTAACATATAAGTTGGGTCTTGTTTTTTATCCATTCAGCCACTCTGTGCATTTTGATTGGAAAATTGGATCCTTTACATTTAAAGTAATTATTGCTAGGTAAGGACTTATTATTGGCATCTTGTTAATTGTTTCTGACTGTCTTTTTTTTTTTCCTTAAGTAACTCTACCTGCCAACGTGGGGCTGGAACTCACAACCCCAGAATCAAGATTCGCATGCTCTACCAATGGAGCCAGCCAGGCGTCCCTATTTCTGGCTGTCTTATAGTGCTTTTCTTCCTTCCTTTCTTGTCTTTTTTTGTGAATTAATGATTTTCTGTAGTGGTATACTTCAATTCCCTTCTCTTTATCTTATGTGTATTTACTATAAGTTTTTGTTTTGTGGTTACCTTCAGATTTTAAACATCTTAGAGGTAAGAGTCTTTTTTAAGCTGATAACACTTGACTTTGATTGCATACAAAACCTACCCTTTTACCCTCCCCCCGACATTTTATGTTTTTATATCACAGTTTACATCTTTTTATGTTGTGTATCCATTGACAAATTATTGTAATGATAGCTATTTTTAGTACTTTTTTTTTTTTTAGTAGGCTCCACACCCTATGTGGGGCTTGAACTCAGGACCCTGAGATCAAGAGTCACCATGCTGTATCAACTGAGCCAGCCAGGTGCCCCAGTACTTTTGTTCTTTAACCTTTATGCTAGAGTTAAGTGATAAACACCACTATACTACACTATAAGAATGTTCTGAATCTGATTATATGTTTAGCTTTACCACTGTGTTGTGCATTTTCATATGTTTTCTTTTTTTTTTTTTTTAAAGATTTTATTTATTTATTTGACAGAGAGAGACACAGAGAGAGAGGGAACACAAGAAGGGGGAGTGGGAGAGGGAGAAGCAGGCTTCCTGCTGAGCAGGGAGCCCAATGGGGGGCTCGATCCCAGGACCCTGGGATCATGATGTGAGCCAAAGGCAGACGTTTAACGACTGAGCCACCCAGGCGCCCCCATGTGTTTTCATATTGCCAGTTAGCATCCTTTCATTTTAGCTCAGTGAATTCCTTTTAGCGTTTCTTACAAGTTAGGCTGAGTGGTGATGAATTTTCTTAGTTTTTCTTTGTTAGGGAAAGTGTTTCTCACCTTCATTTCTGGGTAAATTATTCTTGGTTGGCATTTTTCTTCTTTCTTTCATCATTTTGAATATAAGATCCCATTGTCTCCTGGTGGGCAATGTTTCTGCTAAAACATCCACTAATAGCCTTATGGAGGTTTTCTTGTATGAGAGATTTTTTTAATTAATTAATTAATTAATTTAAAAATTTTATTTATTTAAGGGTGTCTGGGTAGCTCAGTTGGGCGTCTGCTTTCCGCTAGGGTCATGATCCCAGAATCCTGGGATCGAGTCCCGCATCGGGCTCCTTGCTCAGTGGGGAGCCTGCTTCTCCCTCTGCCTCTGCCTGCTGCTCCCCCTGCTTGTGCTGTCTCTCAAATAAGTGGATAATATATATATATTTTTAAAGATTTTATTTATTTATTTGACAGAGAGACAGCAAGAGAGGGAACACAAGCAGGGAGAGTGGGAGAGGGAGAAGCAGGCTTCCCGCTGAGCAGGGAGCCCGATGCAGGGCTTGATCCCAGGACCCTGGGATCATGACCTGAGCCGAAGGCAGACGCTTAACTACTGAGCCACCCAGGTGCCTCTGACTAGGCAATTTCAAATGATCACTCTTCAGGCTCACTGATTCTTTTGTTTGATCTAGTCAATAAAGTACTTTCAAGTTGCCAAATCCAACTAGGTTTGTTTTTGTTTTGTTTTTGGTTTTGTTTGTTTGACTATTCTCCATTTCTTGAAATACTCTCTTTCCTTGCCTCCGGTTACACAACCACTTTGGGTCTCGCCCTTTTGGCCCTTCTCTTTTGGTCTCTTTGTCAGTTACTTTATTCAATTTCTGATTATTTAGAGTTCTTTAGGTTCTTTAGACCTTCTTACCTTACCTTCTCTCTAAATACACTTTCTTCCTAGATTTTAGTTATTACTATGCTAAGAGATTTACAGGTTATGATTGCTAGGCCAGACCTCTCCTCTGTGTATCCAACTGCCTAATTGATATTTTTTCTGGAAATCTCACAGATGATTCAAGGTTTTCTTTTTGTTTGGTTGTTTGTTTTTTTTTTTTTTTTAAGTAAGCTCTAGGCCCAATGTGGGGCTTGAACCCATGACTCTGAAATCAAGAGTCAAATGTTTTACCGACTGAGCCAGCCAGGTGCCCCTCAAATTTAACATATTCAAACTGTAATGCTTTCTTTGTAGTCCTCAAATTGCCCTCCCCTAATCTCTACAGTGTTATAAATGATACTGCCATCCATCCAGTTACTCCAGCTGTCCTTGCCTACATCCAATCTATAAACTAGTCCTGTTGATTCT